CCTCAGCCTCCCAAAGGCGCGGGATTACAGGCTGAGCCACCGAGCCCGGCTGTTTTTTGTGAATTTTAACAACAAAGATTTGCTGGGCTCAGTGACTCGCGCCTGTAATCCCAGCACTTTGGGAGGCAGAGACCAGAGGATTGCCAGAACCCACGGGTTCAAGACCAGCCTGGGCAACATGGCGGACCTCATCTCTACAATAAATAAAAAAATTACCCAAGCGTGGTGGTGCACGTCTGTAGTTCCAGCTACTTGGAAGGCTGAGGCGAAAGGATCGCCTGAGCCTAGCAGGTTGAGGCTGCAGTGGCCATGAGCTTGCCACTATACTTAAGCCTGGGTGACAGTGAGATTCCGACTCAGAAAACAAAACAGACAACAAAGATTTACATTTGGATTCTTAGGCATAGTTTATAGTATATGATTGATTCACTGCTTACATCTACTATAACATGGTGTGTGTTTTTGTTTTTTAGTAAATTAGCTTTTGTTTGGCATTTTCTGAGATTTAAAAGTACTAGCATAAGGATAAAAAGTACTCTCGTGTTTAGAATGCTGTCTCTTGACCTTTTTGAAAATCCCAACTTAACACCTACATACTTTTTAGAGGTGCAATAATTAAGGCATGGAGATGACAATAATTGCCGAAAAAGTGGTCAAGTGAATGAAACCAAGTGGCAAATACTGTCTTAATCTTTTTGTTGGGTTTGATTTATTTAATTAATTTTAAGACCTCGAGTTTATTTTTTCTTCCCAGAATTTGACCAGTTTCCATTAGAATCTTAGTATAAGCGTAAAATTTTGAACATAGGTACTCACAGGAGTCTGATGTGAAGGTAAATAATGGAGACAGATCAGGTAGAGACTAGTAATTGAGTGAATACATGCCTTGGAAGGAGCAAATACTGTTTAGACCTACCTAACTTTGGGGATTCATACCAGTTTTGCAAGATCAGATTTCTAACTTAAAGATCAGATTTCAAAATAAAGATATTGATATGAAGTGCCCGTACTTTTTAATGCATCTAATTTCAAAAATTTTTTGAAATACTGCAAACCAAACAAATCAAAGTTGGGTAAGTCTTGTGAGCAATCAGATGTTTTCTTGCTATAAGCCATATTTTCCAGACATGTTCTTAACCTGTTTCTTCAGAACTTACTAATGTATGTGCTCATATAGATGATTTAGAAGGGTTTATGAAGATGTGATTGTATGTATGTTATACTGTACATTACATATAATAAATAAAATCATAAGCATGTTAGTGCATCTTCCCTATTCTAGAAGAGTCTTTGTGGTTTCTGAGAGGGAAAATTGGTTTTCTCCATTAGTGCTTAAAGTGGTAATGTTTTCCTGGATAAAGGGAATTTAATGGCTCTAATCTTCTTAGACTTTCCCAGAAAGCCTTTTTCAACATTATTAAAAATTATTTTTAACAGTGTGTAAGTATGAATCCGGACAGAGTGTAAAAATAATGGGTGTTTTGGGAAGAGTTAATGAATATAGCGTCTCTCAGGAATTGGTACTAGGCTGACTCAGCGTCCTTATGAAGATGGATCCCAGCTTACAGATGCCACTGTGCTCTCTTGATTATTGAGATTATTGAGATGAACTGGAGCTCATTTGGGGGCTGTTTGAGAAATATGTCAGTATGACTATTCTGTGAGTAAGTTGAAGGAAATTATCACAGAAAGGAATAGACTTAAACTTAAGATCACGTCTTGGATATTAATTGCAAAGAGACCTCACAAATTGCATGGACTTTTCCCCAAATCATGGATACAGTGTGCTGCCCTGTATGAAATGCTGACCACTAACCAGCAGGAATCAACCAAAACCTGTATTCATACAAAACCATAGTATGTCCTTTCCTGCAAACATTTTTCAGTCAGTACTCTTCCATCCTTCAAGAAAGACATTGTAAACACAAAGCAAAGAGGGATTGAGGATGTCATTTAAACTCTTGGGACTCAATCTAGAAAAGAGGGAAAGTGTTAAGTAATATTATTGAACAACTTTTTTTTTAAATGTTGAAATCTTGGAATGGGAATTGCCTTATGAAGCTTAAGATAAGAAAAGGCAAAATAATTATAATATCACTATCACCATGAGATCACCATGAGATTAGTAAATCAAGGATTTTTTTTTTTTTTTTTTTTTTTTTTGAGTTGGAGTCTCACTCTGTCGCCCAGACTGGAGTGCAGTGGCCACTCCCGGCCACCGCAGCCTCGATCGCTCCGGCGATCCTTCTGCCTCAGCCTTCCGAGTAGCCGGAATTACAGGCATGCGCTACCACGCCCGGCTGATTTTTTAATTTATTGTAGAGATGAGGTCTCGCTGCCCAGGCGGGTCTCGAATTCGCGGGCTCAGGCAATCCACTCACCTCAGCCTCCCAAAGGCGTGGGATTTACGGGCTGAGCCACCAAACCCAGCTAGGAATTTTATTTATTTATTTATTTATTTTTTTAATTTGGAGTCTTACTTTGTCACCCAAGCTGGAGTGCAGTGACACACTCATGGCTACCACAGCCTTGACCTGCTGGGCTCAGGTGATCCTTCTGCTTCAGCCTTCCAAGTAGCTGGAATTACCGGCATGCACCACCATGCCCAGCTAATTTTTTGATTTATTGTAGAGATAAGGTCTCCTCAAGTTGCCCAGGCTGGTCTCAAACCCGTGGGCTCAGGCAATCCTTTCACCTTGACCTCCCAAAGTGCTGGGATTATAGACGTGAGCCACCACACCCGGCCAAATCTAGGAAATTTTCCCTAGAATTGTAATCTGGGTTGAAAGTATGTTGGTAGACTCTTTGGATAAATTCATTGCTGGTATTCAGAAATTTTTAGTTCCAGAGGAAAGCTTAGGTTTGTTAAGGTAGAATGAGGACTGTACTAAAACTTTTTCAGTGATGAAAGCTTCTAGTTGTGTGATCCTGAACAAGTTATTTAATCAGTGGTGTTGAGTTTAAGATAAAAATAATGCTACCTACTTTTCTGGGTAATAGTGACAACTTAATGAAATAAATATATGTAAATTAAGCCCTAGACCCATAATAATATATATTAGCATGAATTAACTCATTTATCACCATCCTGTGAAGGAACAATACTAATAATAATCTTTTCTGGAACAAGACAGTTTATAAGAATCAGGTGATGATAAGGTGATTTGAAAACTGAAGCATTATGGAAATGTAGTGTAACATTATGTATAATCCATCTAATAGATAAGAAAAGTAAGGTCCTATAGACCCATGATAGAATTAACTATATATTTCATATACATCTATATGAAAGATTTTGATTATAATAAATCTTCTAACATGAAAATTCTTTTACAGCTGAGAAGTTTCTTGAATCTGTAGAAGGAAATCAGAATTATCCACTGTTGCTTTTAACATTACTAGAGAAGTCACAGGATAATGTTATCAAAGTATGTGCTTCAGTAACATTCAAAAACTATATTAAAAGGAACTGGAGAATTGTAAGTATTTTGTGAATACATAATTTAATACTTTGTGTTTATAACATCTATATAAAGTGTTCTTAAAAGATTAACATACAGATTAAAGATAAGTTGAATAGCTGGGTGCAGTGGCTCATGCCTATAATCCTAGTACTTTGAGGCAGAGGCAAGAGGATTGCCTGAGCCCATGGGTTTAAGACCTGCCTGGGCAACTTTGTAAGACCTCCTCTCTACAGTAAATCAGAAAATTAGCTGGGTGGGTTGGTGCATGCCTGTAGTTCCAGCTACTTAGAAGGTTGAGGTGGAAAGATCACCTGAGCCCAGCAGGTCAAGGCTCCATTGACCCTGAGCGTGCCACTGCACTCCAGCCTGGGTGACAGAGTGAAACTCCGACTCAAAAAACAAAAAAAACCCAAAAAACAAATAGAATTATTTTCTAAAGCTATTTCATTAGAATTTATATAAATTCTTAAACTGCATGACTCAGTTTGCTGGAGAATGTGACTTAGCTTTAATCTTCATTATTGCTGGGCATGCAGGCTCATGCTTTTAGTCCCAGCACATTGGGAGGCAGAGGCAAGAAGATTGTCTGTGCCCAGAGGTTCGAGACCAGCCTAGGCAACATGACGAGACCTTGTCTCTACAATAAATAAAAACTTATAATTGGTGCTGTGGATCATGCCTATAATCCCAGTACTTTGGGAGGCAGAGGTGGGAGGATTGCCTGAACCCACCAGTTCGAGAACAGCCTGGGAAACTTGGGGAGACCTCATCTCTAAAATAAATCAAAAAATTAGCCAGGAGTGGTGGTGTGTGCCTGTGGGCCTAGCTACTTGGAAGGCTGAAGCAGAAGGATCGCCAGAGCCCAGCAGGTTGAGGCTGTGGTAGCCTGAGCAAGCCATTGTGTTCAAGTCTGGGTGACAGAAATTCCCACTAAAAAAAAAAAATCTCCATTATGGTTGAAATGTACCTCTTGCTCATACCTCTTGCTCACTCCTGGTGAAGAGACATTATGTGGGAAGACAGTCTAAATAATTAAAATGGTTTCTGTTGTGGACTTGGAATATTAAAACTGAAAAATGTATGGAATGCAAAGTAATTTAAATTTGAAATTTTGATACAGGATTTTGTCCTATGTCTTATGTGATATGGAAATATATTCTTTTTTTTTTTTTTTTGAGTTGGAGTCTCACTCCGTCGCCCAGACTGGAGTGCAGTGGCCGCTCCCGGCCACTGCAGCCTTGCCTGCTAGGCTCCGGCAATCCTTCCGTCCCAGCCTTCCGAGTAGCCAGAATTACAGGCATGCACTACCATGCCCGGCTGATTTTTTTATTTATTGTAGAGATGAAGTCTTGCTGCCCAGGCGGGTCAGGCAGTCCACTCACCTCAGCCTCCCAAAGGTGTGGGATTACAGGCTGAGCCACCGAGCCTGGCTATATATTCTAATTTTAAGATGAATTCTTTTGTGCCACAAGTTTAATTAATAGTAAGTTATAAATTAAGAAACAGGCTTTTTTCCTACCTTAGCTTAGGGCAGTGTTTTGTTTTGTTTTGTTTAAGTTGGAGTCTTACTTTCACTCCGTCGCCCAAGCTGGAGTGCAGTGGCGCACTCATGGCCACCCCAGCGTCAGCTCACTGGGCTCTGGCAATCCTTCTGCCTCAACCTTCCAGGTAGCTAGAACTATAGGCGCATGCTAACATGCTCAGCTAATTTTTTTTTTATTATTAATTTATTATAGAGACAAAGTCTTGCCAAGTTGCCTGGGCTGGTCTGAAACCCACAGGCTCAGGCAGGTTTTTAATTGGGGGAACCTTTTGAAATATCTAGAGGCATAGTTTCAGGTATTGGCATCTGGTTTGTAGTGGCCAAGGAAACTACTATCTATCCTATTAGGACTGACAAAAATGATCAGTTTTTCTTTTTGTTTTCTTTGTTTTTTTTAGTTGAAGTCTCACTCTGTCACCCAAGCTGTGGTGTAGTGGAACACTCATGGCCACTGCAGCCTTGAAGTGCTAGGCTTAGGAGATGCTTCTGCCTCAGCCTTCCAAATAACTGAAACTACAGGCATGTGCCACCATACCTGTCTAATTTTTTTCTAAGATTTGTTTTAGAGACAAAGTTTCACGAACCGGCCCAAGTTGGTCTTGAACCCCTGGGCTCTGCTTCCCAAAGTGCTGGGATTATAGGTGTGAGCCACCATGCCCTACTGAGAATGTGCATATTTTGGGGGGAAAGGGTTCATGCTGTGATCAGATTATTAAAGAAATCTGTGACCCATGTAGAGGAAAACTAAGGAGAGGCCCCACCTTTCTCTACGTTTTTCTTAGAAAACCAGGAAATAAATTCTGTTTTACTTAAAACCATATGGGCATGCATATGGAATTTATGTTACTTGCTCATTGATATTTTGCTTTTAGGTTGAAGATGAACCAAACAAAATTTGTGAAGCTGATCGAGCAGCCATTAAAGCCAACATAGTGCACTTGATGCTTAGCAGCCCAGAACAAATTCAGAAGCAGGTAATATAGCCCTGCTTTTTAGGTAGGCTCCTCTGTAAAGGTGTCATCTTAATAATTCTTTCCTTCCCCAGTTAAGTGATGCTATTAGCATTATTGGCAGAGAAGATTTCCCTCAGAAGTGGCCTGACTTATTGACAGAAATGGTGAATCGCTTTCAGAGTGGAGATTTTCATGTTATTAATGGAGTCCTCCGTACGGCACATTCATTATTTAAAAGGTAATGATGTACAGACTTTATATATATATTCATTATTTAAAAGGTAACGATGTACCGGACTCGGTGGCTCAGCCTGTAATTCCGCGCCTTTGGGAGGCTGAGGTGAGTGGATTGCCTGAGCCTGTGG